ACAAGAATTAAACCCCCCTCCTTACCGCGCGCTGGAATAAAGCGTCACCGGGGCAGAGCGCCATGTTTCAGGGGCTCTTCACCGACATGCTCCTCTTCCTCTCCCGCAGGTGTCCGCGAGACGCCCACACCTGAAGTCAGTCAAGATGGGGACCGGATGTGGCGTCACTTCACCGCTGCTCTCAGTGAGAGGACTGACAAATAAAACCATGACATCATCTCACTCCCCTGACGTAAATATTGATAAAGGTTTATTTGTAAGTCAATCAAAAATAAAAACCTCAGCTACTTCATCACCACCCTGTTTGTTTTTTTTTTAATCTTTTTGGATTAAATAAATTAAAATAACCATTTTATCAGTAACAGACACAAAACAACTTTCAAGATAAAAACGAATTTTTATTGTCAAGAATATAGTAAAGTTCAGAATAAACAACACTCTAAATTCTTATAATAGTAATACAACAGTAAACTTTATTTATATATCACTTTTGTTTAAACAGCAAAGCAAGACAAGTACATATAAGAGAAATAACAATCAGCAGGATTCAAATTAAATGAATGAATATACAGCTATGTCACAGGAAAACTTGTACACACAAAAGCAGTAATATGAGAATGAAAATAAATGAACAATTCATTTAAAAGGTGAAAAGTAAACCCCCCACGAAAGCAAGTCTATAAAAATGGGTTTTAGGGATTGATTTTGAAGAAGTCACTGACTGTGAGCCTTATCTCCTCAGGAAGGACGTTTCAAACCAGAGGGGCCCTGATGGCAAAAGCCTCAAGTTTTCAAAGCCTTAACTTTTCAACCTCGAGACCTTATGGCCTATGCCAGAGAAGAGGGAGTTACAGTAGTCCAGTCTAGAGAAGACTAGTTTGTGAATTATTTTTTCTGTGTGGGTGTGAAAGTATGGGATTGTTTTGGAGATAAATCTGATTTGTAGAAAGCATGGCTGGAGTACTTTTTTTAATTTGTGGTTCTAAAGTGAGTGATTGTTCAAACAGAACTCCAACAGGTTTCTGGCAACAGGCTTTTCAATAATCCACCAGGTACCAAGGCTATGTTCAATTTGATTGATGGGATTAGTTGAATTGAATAATATAATTTCTGACTCTGAGTTGTTGAGTATAATAGCCTTTTTCATTTTTATAAATCTGTTTTCGTGTAATATTTACCTACATTTCATTCATGATAAGCATGTGTTGTGTTCATCTTGGTGAATCCGTCCAACACTTTGCACTTGGAGGCAAAGTTCAGTAATCTGCAACTACTAAGAGAGACTGATTAAAAGTAAAGACTGACTAAAGTTGAAAGACACAGTGTTGTATTTTTATCTTGCAGTTAAGGACGCACTCATTTACGCCCACACACACTTGTCAGTCGATCACAGTCTTTCTCCCAAATGAAATTTGCCGTGGTCTCAGACAGCTGCAGGGTTTGCTGCTTTCTTAACAACTTAATTAAGCAAATCTCCCCTTTTCCCACAGAGGTAATGAGCGTAGTTTTACAGGGATTAAACAGTCTCCAGAGTTGAAAATAAGGCTTCATGCTTTAGCAATATTATCTGGCTTTATCCATCCAGCCAACTTTCCATCCACAGGATTATTATTAATGGTGTAAGGCCTGTTAGCCTTGCCATATTCTTCTCTTTTTAATTTGCAAGGTGTTAATACTTAAACAGCTCAGTGCAACATGATGAAATATGAGTTTATTGTTTCTGTCACTGGATAAAGACATACATTTGCCCTCTCGCCTTGGATTATCACGGGTATCTGATAATCATTCAGAGGTGTTACTTTACTCTAACAAAGGTTTGCATGGAGATGGGTGCCAGGTTAAAGGCAAACCAACATAAAAGTACCATTGAAATGCTGCTGAAGCTGTGGGGGTTAGATGATGGGCTATCCAACATGTTAACTTAGGTGTTCAGTTGGGTTGAGATTTGATGATTTACACTGTTTGAAGCAGCTTCATTTACCATGTTCCTCATTTATTGAGTTCCTTTCTTTTAACCTCTCGCCAATCTGTACAGGTCACATTTACATACAGTAATCACTGAGTATAATTGTTTTTTACTCAAAATTAATTCCTAGAAAGCAACTGAAAAAACAAGGTCCATTGTGGTGCTTCCTATAATAAAACATTTGATACCATCATGGAACTGTAGTTCAAATAATATTTTCTTTGACCCTTGGACACATTTTGAACATTGTAAACATACGATCATATAGGTATGACTGGAATGCCAATGTAATATGTAAATATTTCTAATATGTTTAGAATTTATAAAAATTGGTATGAGAAGTCTTGCACAGAAAATTGAAATGCACTAATTCCATGACATTTTGCAAACTCTGATGTGCAGAGACAATAAGCACATTTTTGGGATGTCAAGCACATTGAATCTTTCACCATGAAGCTTGACTGCCATTTATTTCCAATATTTCAAACCTTTGAGTTATCAGCTCTTCACTTAGGACAGAAATAAATAAGATGCCTGTTGGATATTTCAGGCCTCTCTGGCCAAATGTCAGAGTTCACAGCACTTTACATCACATATGAGAAAGTCTGTTCCTCCTGGGACTATAAAGCAGAGCAAACTAAAGATAAGGATCCGTTTTTTAATCTTATTTTGTATCATAAGGCATGTCTAATACCATACGCATGACTAGACTGAAAAATTAATTACACTTCCTGAATATCCAAATGGATTGTGAAAAGTAATATGCCTTTACCAGGAGATAATTAGGATGCCAAATTTGGCCAGAATGGGCCCACTTGAATATGACCGCAGACGAGAGGCGACTGAAGTTGAAGGGCAAATTATTCCAGATTGTGAGCAATAGCTGCAGACTTTTTGGAACCAAGCCTCCCCTTTTATGGAGGTCTTAATTGGTAGATGTGCAGATAAGAGAGGGAGCAGACACACACACACACAAAGATAGAGGGATTCAAAGAGCCTTGTTCTGCTCAAATTAAGATCTTCTCCAATTAGGATTTTTATCATCATTACTCTGAACTGGGTGTTGGATGTCAGTTCGCTCTCATAAACCTATGAACTTGACTAATGATGTCCACCAGGACCTGATCTGCCAGGCAGGGTGTGAAATGCTACCCCCTGCTGGAATTTTAGCATTTCTACAATGTGCAGCAATACTTGGGTGCTGTGTCTGCAGCAGTGGTTTACTTGCTCTTCTAACTTCATCAAATGTAAACCCTCATCACAGATAGCATGGACAGTTATGAGCAATTCATGAAATGCCCCCACCCCCTCTTGGATTATTTAATTTGGAGAATGACAATACGCTTGAAGACAGGACAGTATCCAGCATTTCTCAGGAAAATAGAAACAATCAAATATTTCTTGAAAAAAAACAGAATGTCTTTTATGTAACAAATGTCATACATATCAGTTTTCCTGTCAGTTGCTTGATAAAGTCACCTTAAGGTCTATAAACTGTGTTCAAGTCATACAAATGAGAGGAATTACCACCTTTTGGTTTAGCTGGTAACATATGCAATCTGACATGAGGGGATATATCATCATGGTGATTCTTTGTGGAGTCCTGATCTGATTAATAAACTATAAACAGCAGCTCTTCAGTATATGGACAGTGACATATTTCCTTGGTGGTTTGGTTCAGTACTCTGGATTTGAAATGAATCAGTAGCTGTGAGGTTAAAATGTTAATGTTGAACTCACTTAAATCTGTTCACCTCATATTCTGTGGACGTAAACACCCTCAAGCCAAAAAGATAACCTCATTGAAATTACAAAAACTGATATTTTTTTTATCTTACTTCTGATAATATCAAGCTAGAAAATGGTAGTAGTTTTTTTTGTAGAACGGAAATTAGTTTGCTCTGCTTGAAAAATTACATTTCAAAAACACCTAACAGCAACATCTCTTTCCCAGAAACTGTGTCCTGGTTATTAGTGTGGATTATTCACAGTAACCTGGAAACTATTTTGGAAAGACATGTTGCTGCTGACTGGTTTTAATGTGTTTTGCCAGTGATTTAGAAGCAATCGAATCCAGAAAAACATATAACAAGATTTCTGAAGCAGGAGGAAAAGGAAAGTGTTACCATCTCTGCTGTTCATTCCATATGGATGTAAAAGTCCCCATATTTCAGCTAAGAGTCAGCACTTCACTCTCAGAGTCATTGTCTAAGATCAATTGTGTAGAAGTTCTGAACAAAAGCAGCAGAAAACGTGTCACCTAGCAAAGGCTTCCACACTGTGCTGTAAACTTATTTCAGTCACACAGCTAAGAGGAGAAAGCCAGACGTATTTGGGATGACTACAAACGCACCCTGTTTCATCACCCCCCCCCTCTTCTGAACACAAGCCAGGAAATTTCTGCTGCAGCATCAACGTGACATAGAGGCTGAGGATTAACCTGAATCTGTTACAGTGTTTCTGAGGCATGCAGGGGCAGTGCAGGAGTCTGGAACTGGGACTCAGATCCTGTTGGGAGAGTCTCTGTAAGAGCCTGTTAGTCACAGAGCAGCTCCACCCTGATTCAGGCAAGGATCAACACATTCTGGTCAAGCTAATCGCACGGGACACTTGGCATTTCCTCGCTGAAATCCCTGCCTGACAACCTCCGATACACCTCTTAATGCACGGCAACAAGCCGGGGTCAGTTTATCCACTTCAATCCGAGGCGCAGATAAATGGACACAGCTGAAAAGAGGAGGGCAGGGATGAAAACTATAATGTAGCAGATAAAAAAAAAGGACAGCACTTTGCTTTCATTTTGTATAATTAGAAAATCTATGGTGTGCATATGTGTGTTTCATTTCAAAGCCAATGACGCAGGAGGGGTGATGGACAAGAGTGAATGAAAAGTGAGAGGATTTCTTCTTTGACACGCACGCTCACACGATTTCTGATTATAATTATAGTCTTTATGAGAATGTGAGAAATGGAGCTGAAATCAAACTGGTTTGATTTCTGGAGCTTTGTGATTAATTAATGAGCATGTGTTGGCTTCGAGTGACTGCTTTTTATAACACATCAATCATCAGTGATGCAGAACAATGAGATTGTGACAACAAATTAACTCAGGACCATACTCTGGTTTTTTTTACTACTCTGGTAGTACACGCTTGTCTCTTCAGCTGTCAGGCAACTATGAATTTCAAGAAGCGATGTCACGAAAAAGAAAAGGTTCACAATCAGTCCGTCGTGAAATAACTCGAGTCAGTGGACACAGTCTGTGCATTTGCTGATGTGAGGTTACATCAGAGGCTGTAGGTGTCCTCAGGCAACTCTCCCAGGAGCTCGTCCAAGTCATCATCTACAGATGAAGAACACAGACAAGTGAGAGAACGAAACCCGTGTTATTCACGTCAAATCTTTATCCTGTATTGTGAGTCATCACATTTTAACTGAATAATAATTATCTTCAGAAAAGAGTTGTTACTTAACAGGATTATGCTAAAACTACTAAATTGATTTCCACGAAACTTGGTAGAATGATGAAGTATAGGTCAGGAAAGTACGCATTCAAATTTGGTGCAGATCCAGATCCAGGATTTTTTCTTTTACACTTTCTTTAATATTGGGAGATGTTGTTTTTTCACATTTTTTGCTGATTTTTTTTTCAGATCATAATTCCTTGATTGTGATGGGGCTGGTATTCAAAAGTGTGTGTAATTCGGTGCAGATCTGGATCTAGTGAATATTAATGTGGTTTCATAAGGGAACTGTTGGCAGATGTATGAGCTCTACTGTGTGACAATCTAGTTGATTAATCAAAATGAAAACACTGGTTAGTTGCAGCTGTATTTCAAAATAGTGGAATCAGAAGCCAAGTTGTTTTGCTACATTTAGATCAGAAAAAAATACTTGAACTGAATCTGTCTCATTCCAAAATCAGAATCAATTAACTTTCCTTCTGTAACCAGTATTATTACAGACAATATGAGACTCCCCACCTGCATCCCAGTCTGGGTCCTGTGGTGCTGATTTCCCAGCAGGCTGTTGGGGGCCTCCACTGGAGCTGAGTCTACCGTCTGTTGGGGCTTGAGGGTCTTTGCCTCCCTCTGTGCATCTTCCGCCCTCTTGTCCCTCGTCGTCTTCCTCGTCAAACACCAGATGCATCTGAGACACTGGCTCCCGGCGGATGGTGGGAGACTGAGCGGGTGACTGCAACATTGGCTCCTGGATAGCGAGAAGAAAAAATTGTTTTAGCAGGTTGGCGGTGCCATTCTGGACGACAGATGTGATATTTGTAGGAATACGACTGTATTATTCCTATTTTGGGCCGATAGTCCTGACACTCACCAGGACGAGCGGGGGGAGCTGAGTGGAGGTCACACTGACTCCATCAGAGGTGTAGATCCTCAGCAGGTTGTTCTGTGTCACGTTCAGGTAATGGTTACGATGGGATGGGGAAAACACACCAACCTGTCCATAGACAAAGGATTTGGATAAAGCGAATCAAACCAGGTGTGTAAACCACTGTGCATTTTGCTGAAGCTAAAACTAAACTGCAGTTAAGATCCTGAGTGAAGTTAAAGTTTTAACAAACTGTGGTGGTGAGTTTTACCTGTTTGAGCAGCAGCACGGCTCCGACCTTCAGCTCCCCCTCTCTTTCCTCAAGAAGCCGCCGGTGCACAGTTCCCTGAATCTCCCCTTCAGTCAAACATATTCAGAGGAACAGAACATTAACCAAATATAATGAAACCATATTTTTTTTTATCAATGGGGAAAAAAAGATTTGAAGACTCAATATGAACAGTCACTCCACTCTGAAGTTCCACTCAGGGCATTTGAGTTTTTTTAAGCTAATTTCTTTAACAGACCCAGTGTGCTGCATCACTTCTTCTGCAATGATGAAGTTAAAAGGAACACGGTGTTGTGCGCTAATCTGTGGGACAGCTTCTCTCCTGTCTGCAGTCTGTGAGTAAATGGGTCTCTGCTTGTCTCTGTCGCTCTTCACACACAAACTGATATTTATTTGTTAATTGATGTGTCGGGTAATGAATCTGAATCATTCCTGTCACTTACACCATGATGTCCTGGCTGTGCGCGTCTCATATTCTGTGACAGGGGAACTGTGTGGGCACAAAATGCTTCCAAAGTGTTTATGGGAAATACCTGTCTCATAAATTCTAGAGTGACTCGAACAAGCAGTAAGCACAAAGCACAAAGAGGAGGAGCAAAACAGCTCTGATGAATCCGGTGTTCACTACGAACTCAGCACCAAACATCCTTACAGCAAATAATCGACTTAATTTGTCAGGTAACCAAAAGACCTGACTCCGATTAATGCTAATTTGCTCCATGTTTGCTAAATGTGAAAAATAAGCAGCTATTTTCCACATCAGCTATAAAAAATTTGAACAATATGCATTCATTGCTCTTAATTACATAAACTGCTGCTGCTTGTCACAGTTAAATGATGAATCTGATATTTTACGCTGCTCAGTGTTTTTGATAATCGTCGTTTGTGGCAGTCCCATGATAACATTGACCACCTCAAGTTGTTTTACTGTGGTTAAATATTTCAAGTGGCTAAAATATTATTTATTGCAGACTTATTCATTGCACGGTGCAATGATCCTCTCAGCCTCTTCTTAATAAATAAGATTTAAATAAGGTCAGCATGAGAAATTCAACTTTGCAAACATGTAGAAATGACCTGTATGTGCAGAAAAAGTGCATGTGGAGGAGATATTTGCCTTTTTAAAAAAAAAAAAAAAGAGAGACTGTGTGAATACAATCAAATTGTCCTTAAAGATGTTTAATTTAGGATTTAATAAACCAGAGAAAAGCAGAAAATCCTCTCACTGAAGAAGCTTAAACCAGAATTTTTTATTAAACGCATTCTTGCTTTTTTAATGACTTACATGATTAATCTGTCAATTTCACGTTACTCCACTAACCTGCTAATCTTTTCAGCACTGGTATATAATCACCGCAGACAGACAGCAGCTTCTGCAATAGCTGCCTGCTGGAGAAATAGCTGAAAACCTCCTGACTGGTGGGAAGCACGTTACAGACAGAATGGTCCCTCGTGATGTCAGAAGCACTTAATACCCAACCACTGCTGATGCCAATCTACTGCAATTGAATCACTAATAAGCACTTAAGTCTGGTGTCGAGTAGAACATCACTCCTGAGTGTTGATAATCTGTACACTTTGTGTGGTCCCTCTCTGGGCGCCATGGCAACGGTGGCAAAGCTTAGAAGAGGATCAGATGGAAAGGTTGAAGCAGGAAACAATCAGAGGGCAGAGAGGCCTGCTGCTGTAAAGGCAGACGTGAATGTGATAGTATACTGTATGTGTGTGTGTAATCAGGTTACATTGCCGTGGCTGCTGAACTCTGCTCTCGCACCGTGTGGAGCTCAATCAGGCGATTTCTCCAAGAGCAAATTTCAAACATGAAGCAAATGGCTCCCAGCTTCTCCTCCACTTCTTGCTCTTTTATTCACAATCACTTAATAGTTATTGCTTTCTTTTCTCTACGTTTACTTCTTACAAGTTTCATCAACAAGCCAATAATTCTTTTCTAAAAATGAACGCGTGTCTCCATGTACTGTACCTGTGGGGTCCTTGAACACAGCCTTGGCATCAGTGTGTGTGTGGATGATGCTCTTCAGAAGCACAGCCATGTTGGGTACTTTGTTTTTTGCCAGCTGCTTCAGTGCAGCCTACATTGATGAAATACAAAAAAACACACATTACCCTTTGTTAAACTGAAATGACTGAAAACTGACTGCCCGTTATTCTGTTCATTCGTTTGTAAAAATCAGCCAATCAGAGCCTTTCACAGACATATATGTACTGTATCTGTGTTTATTAACAGATATGCAACCTTTTATTTGACAACAAAAAAACCAATGCAGATGCAATGTTTACATTTTATGCATAAAAAGTTCCATCGATTTGGTTGCATTTGTGTTTTCTTTTTACTTATTGTTATTTATAATAGAGTTCAAGGTTAAACTGTAAATTATTTACATTATCAATATTTTCACTTTTGCATCAATACATTATACTGTTGAACATTGAATCAAAGTATTGACCCAGACCCTTGAATCTTTACCCTCATAACCTTCTGAACATTCAAGTCAATAATTATAAAGCTGTTCAGCTTCTTGAGACATGTATGAAAACCATTTTTCTATATGACAGTTTCACATTTGTTAAAATTATTTTAATGCACAATCCAAACTTTTTGGTTTTGGCAAAATCTGGTGCTGACATCAGGAATCAAATAGTGATGAAAGCACCACACACTGCTTTGATTTTACTTTTGAAACTTAATTCAATAAAAACCAAACATCTTATCACTCTAACTTTTGGTTCCCGTCATCAGATCAAGAGTTTGTGCTTGGAGATTTACTGCGGTCAACAAATAAACAGCATTGATGTTTATTTGCTGTTTGGATCATTCTCTCCCTCTGATGCACTGGACGTACCAAGTTATTGTTCAGTCAACAGAAGCAGGGATGGGTTCATTTCAAACAGGGATTTTTGGAACTTCAATTCTCTTATAAACAGGTTAACCTGACTGAGCTTAGCCAGAGTCCTAAGAGTGGCACTGTGCATGTAAATGGAGCTGATGACAAGCGAGGGGGCTGTCAAGCCAACACGTGTAAACCCTCTAACGACTGCCACTCAAAAACACTGCTAAGTTATTCCACAGAGGCTGACACACGGAAGGAGCAGAATAACAGCAGAGTCTCCATTAGATTGATTGATGAGCGATTGTACTCTTTATAATTACAAAACACCCCCAGTACAGGGAGTCATTTGTCCTGATTATGGCAGCTGACTACCAGCAGCGAAACAGTCTGTTATGATGGCGGAGAAATTATTGAATAAACTGCTTGACCTAAATATCAGCACAAGTTTCAGTGCTTGAGTAAACGTGTTTGAGGAAGACAATTTTCAAGATTTTGTTTGTGTAATTGAGCGGCAGAGAAGAGTAAGATCAACGGGAATCACCTTCCGAAGCACCATGACCACACTGTAGGTCTGCAGGAAGCACGACGGGTTCCTCTCATCCAATCCCATCTCTGCCTTCATCGCTGCCCAGGCACCGCCACTGAAATCGTCATCCTCCGTTTGTGAGCTGGAAACCTTAAAGTCAAATCCAACAGTGGAATCACTACCTAAAAAAACTTGCCACTATGATGACATGATTCCTGACAGCAGACCTTTTTTAAGACATTTCTGTCATCACATTTTTCAGATGATCAGTGAGATTCTGAAAGTCAGGCTACATCCACATTCCTAAAATTAGTTTTTAAAATGCATCTTGCTACGTTTACGCTAGGTGTCCACAAAACTTGTGGTTTCCAACGCCCAAAAAAAGAGTTTGGAAATGCAGCTGGCCCGGTTTTACTTTGAAAACTGACTGTTATCATACAGACGAAGAAAACAGACATTTGGAGACAGTGACACATTCACCTACATTCACTTACTGATTCATTATGTACAGTCACAACTTGACGACTGGCAGTGAAGAAAAAGCCATGCTAACACTTTAATTAACAGTTCCACCTGGTCATGGGTCTCAGAATGAAGTCCCTCATCTTAAATTTCATCAATTCTCATTCATAATAATTTCTTGCTGCTTTCAGACTTGAATAATCTCCTGACAGAGGTGTTTAATGTGAGAACGCAAATGTCAGAGGCTACAGACTCTCTCCAAGAAAATTAAGAATTGGCTGCAAGTCATGTTAGATATATCACAACATGTTGCTGTTATTAATTATGAAATAGAAATATATTCAGAGATGTTTCTAACAGCCTTTGATGAAAAGCCCAAACAAGAGTCATTAATCAATCAAAGCATTAATTATCATGTGCTGCTCCTCTGTTCAGCACACAAAAAAGAATGGAATGTACCGGTTCTTTAGGGGTCATCATTTATTGTCTCTTTTGCTATAAATCTTAATAAAACATTAGTTTTACGAATGCAAATCACTTAAGTTTTTTTCTATGCTCTCTTGTCCTTTTCATGGAGCCAATCCCAGCATGCACTGGGTCATAGGCAGAGTCATCATGAGTATTGATCAAAACAGTTATTCTGTAACAATTAAGAAAACCAAATAATCCTTTCATTATTTTTTATACAAAAATAACTAACTGACCTTGTAGTAAATATAAATGTTCTTATTTTTCTATGATATTAAAATGATAATTTGGTTTTTGGGCAGTTGATTAAAACACAGACACTGGAATATGTTGGATTGAGCTTTGGGAGACTCTGCCACTTGACTCTGAAATTTAATGAACAATTAATGAAGAAAAGAATCAACAGACAGTTGCTAATGAAAATAATGGTTAGTAACAGGCTCACAGTTCTTGCTGACATCCGAGATTTGGTTGATGCTTTCTTTCATGTTTTTTTTTTATGTCTCTTTCATGGTTTTATTACCTGGTTTGGTGATCGGGCCACAGCACCGTGAGCAGGAGTGTGAGGGACAGAAACCACAACATTGTCCAGGCTCTGACCCTGTGGCTAAGAGAGAGAGAGGGCAAAACAATTATCATATGGTGGAGAAACAAACAAATCACCGATTTCTTTAACAGTTATTTCATTAGTGATTAGGTGACAGATCTACAGAACAGCGGCAGAAATTCTGACCAGAGCAAACCATTGGGGGAGATGTCATGTGATTTGACTGCTCTGGGGGCAACATTAGCATTCTGAAACCTGGAAGATACAAACAGATGTGAGGAAATACAGCTGCATGGCAGAGGAAGAGCACCACGGCTGGATGGCCTGACTAACCTGTTCTGGCAGGAGTCCAGCGGGCCCAGGGAACCGTCGGGTCCTTGTCCTGTGAGGCTCAGAGCGAGGCCTTTTCTTAGGAAGCCTGTTGGAGGCGGATACAAGCTGGACCAGGCGGTTAGTGAGGAGCGGTGTGTGAAGGGGATGAGGGCTGAGAATAGTGGAGTTCATAGAGGTGGAGGAGGATGAGGGTGCTGGAGAGACTGTCCCAAAGAAGCCACGGGCCTGGGGGGAGGAGCCTGGAGTTGACCACGGTCTCTGCGGTGGTTGGGGTCTGATAGGCGTCCTGGAAATGGGGCTCGGGGCAGGGGAAGTTGCAGTGAGGCCAGGAAAACCACCAGGACTCTGTGGAGGCAGGAAAGCAGGGCGGGGAAGGGGAGATCGCACATGAGTAGCAGAGAGAGTCCGGGAGGGCAGGTTCTGATTAGACAAGCTACATGGTTGGCGTGTAGCATTGACCTCTCTCAGGGTCCGATCGGGCAGCGTCTGAATCCCTCCACAGGTCGGGGTTCGAAGCATTTTGGCTGAAGATGCAGGCTTGGCTGTCGGCACAGATGGAGAGGGGGCGGGAGGTTGAGGCGGCTGACCCATCTGGCCGTCACACTCATCCAGGTCTGCCAGGTCAACATCCCAATCATCGAAATCATCCTGGGCCACACAGGGCTTCAGCGGTTGTGCCAAAATTGTGTTGATCTGTGTGGGAGGATGGAGGGAGTGAAGCTTTGAGGAGGAGGAAGAGGAGGAGAGCTGTCTCAAACCCACAGCAACAGTTTGTCCATCAGCAGCAGTGTGTGTGCTGCTGCTCCTGCTTGAGGCGGTGCCATCAAACGGGGCAGCTGATCTATGGGCGCTTTGCTGGAGGTGATTTCTCTCCGGCTCAGTGTGAGGAGCAGTGGGAGCACGCAGCGAGCAGGATGACACAGCAGCTGCCACATCGGCGGATCCAGACGCCGAGCGGACAGACCAGTCTGTCCCGAGCAGGTCCTGGGAAACACAGATGGAGGATCATCATGGTACAGACTGCTGACAGTTAACCAACAGCTGAAATCGTTCCTTCCTGCAGCAGTAAGACTATACAACCAGCTCTGCTCCTGATAAAAACTACATTCACCACAATTATTATGGACCCCACTTAAACACTTTAAGTCTCAACTGTGCAATATTCATCTGTCTGTGCAATATCAACGGTTCCTGTGCAATCCATTCACTGTGGATATCCTCTCACTGCATATACTTCTTCCTGTCTTTACACTGTATATACTTGTTTAATAACATTCATATGTTTCTATTCTTCTATATATTTTATTTATTATTTTAACTTGCTGGTGTAATGTTGCAAATGTACCCATTCTGGGACTACTAAAGGACTTATTATCTTATCTTAAAGGTTCAGTGTGTAGAATTTAGTGACATCTAGTGGTGAAGTTGCATGTTGCAGCTGGATACCCCTCACCTCACCCTCCCCTTCCCAACATGAAAGAGAACCAGTGGTCTACTTCAGTTGTCATGAAAACTCAAAAGGTTTTAGTTTGTCCAGTTTGGACGACAGTAAAAAAACATGGCGGCCTCCACAGAGAGGACCCCCCCTCCATGTTAATATAAAGTATTTAAATATAAAGGGCCTTTTAAATTCAATTTCTGCCAAAAGTCCCTTAGATCAAGCATCAGCCCCACAGAGTGAGGACATTCTGCCCAGTCCTCACTTCTTCAAAGGCTGTTTGAGGTTCAGACTTGGTTTTAGGGTTAGAACCATAGACTGTATATAAAGAGGTTAGAACTAGGTTTAGGTTAGGGTAAGAGCTTAGGCATTTAGTTGGATGGTTAAGATTAGAGTTAGGGTAAGGGGCTACGGAATGCATAATGCCAATGAGTGTGTGTGTGTGTGTGTGTGTGTGTGTGTGTGTGTGTGTGTGTGTGTGTGTGTGTGTGTGTGCAGGGAATCACCTCATCATCAAAGTCCTCTTCGAGGCTGAACAGGCCGTTGAGTTTACAGGTCTGTGACACAGGAATGAAACAACAACACACATGTTACACACATGTGACACGCATGTTACACTCACACTGAACAGGCTGATACTCTTCATTCAGCGTTATAAACACTAACGTCTTATTAGCATGAGCTGCGTTAGCCTCGCTAGCTTGTTTGCTCACTCACCATCGCAGTCATTGGAAGTCGCGACAGAAGCCGCATGAGATGGTTCCGGACAGTTGTCGTGAGACGCTCGACGCCATTAGACGCACTAGTTTGTAAAGAACTAGTTGACTTTCACACGGTGACTGAGAGAAGAGCTGTGACATCACGAGCTTCATGGGAACTTCACTTTTCCTCGTTAACGCGCCGCTGCGTTCAAACACGACGTGATGACGTGGGCAGTGTTTATACAAAGAGTGTTGAAGCGGAGCGAGAGGGTTCACTCCTCAGAATATCCGTCGCCGCGTTCCGTGGAGAGTTGATCGTATAGAACTTTTTATAAAGTCTAAAGTACATAATCATTTATTGTAGAAGCAACACAACAACAAATAGAAATCAAAGCAGTTGCATATAGAATAAAACACATAAATAAAATAGGCGATGAACAGTGATTATTACATTTAATAAAAGGCAGAAGCAAACAGAACAGTCTTCCTGGAAAGTTAGATACATGGAGCATAAAATCTGAACGAGGTACATTCATGTTTGTTTAGTAGTTTGTCTGTGGTTTTATGTAAACTAGGGCAATAAAACAATATAACTGTCATCAATAGCAATCTACATTTTACAAGCATAGTGAGGAGGTATAAAATATAACTGATTGACCTCAGAGCAAAACAACATGAGGGCAAAAACAAAACCAAACTAATAAGGTGACATTTAAGTGATACATTTTTATTTAGATATCATTTTGGACCATATAGCCAAATCATCAATATAAACTATAGTCAAGATTATGAACGTGAATGTCAAGAGATGCAAATATTTTAATCAATCATAATAAATTAATTTTACATGGACAAAATAATTTAATAAAAATTGAGCCGTAAACATCTACAATTGTGTGTTTGTGGTGGGATTGCTTTGCCTGTTACTGGTACCACTTTATCTACTAGGTTGAAAAAATAGAATTTTAAAATAAAACCACATGATTTAACATGATGAATTTTCCAAACACAGATTACCTGCATTTGTTTAGATATACTGTATATATAGTATATTCCCTCCATCCATCAAATCAAACTGCCTTTCTCTCACTGATCTTACTCAAACTCACTGCATGTCCAAACTTCAGATCTCAACATTTAAAAAAGGTTCTGGCAGGTATGGCTGCCCCCAATCAGAATTGCATACAATATGTCTTTATTAAATTTACCAAACCAAATATAATTTTCTACACGGTTTAAAAATTGTGAATGAAGTTGTCTATCTTGACTTTTCTTTGGTCTTTGATTTACCTGTGTTTTTAACTTGCTGGACCGATGCTGCCATCTAGTGGTTAAAGTAGATGGGTCGAGTGTCAGCTTGCGTTCAGATCTATTAATAGCTGGTGCTAAAGTCGGGTTTGAGCAACAGTCTTGTGACTGAGCTTGAAGAGAACAGGTCGTTTCGTGTGGTGGTTCCATCGTTGTGGTTTTAACTTGAAGAGAAACGCAGCTGAAAACAGGAATGAGAGTTTTTCCTCAACTTCTGATTGGACCCCGGTGACTCACTGCAGTTCCAGTTAAGGGTGAGGAACACCTGTAATCTGCCATTTGTGTAAACAGCACTGCTCAGAGTGTGTGAGGCAACACGTGTTGCTCTAGAGGATTTTATGTATGAAGTTTCAGCTTAAAACTAATATACACCAAGATAATTCTCTTTCCGAACTTGTGGTCTTTTAAAATGCTGGTAAAATATTCATCTCTCTTCACTGATCACTAAGGAGTCATGTCAAGGAACACATTTCCCTTTACGTCCACGTCGCTGCGCTCTCTGAGACTGGAGCAGGAGTTTCAGGAGTGGGAGGATGCTCGACGAGCGTTGGCCCAGAGGAGGGCCCTGACCCGGGCCCCGCTGCCCAGAGCTCCAAGGCCTCCTCCCAGGCAGCAGCAGCTCCAGGAGGTCCGGGCCCCTCCGCCCCAGGTCCGATGTAGGGACATGGCCATCCACAACACCTTCATGTTTGGAGACATGAAGGGAGTGTATGCAGTGCTGAAGGACCCAGGGATGGTCAATGCTCTGATGGAGACGGTGCAGGAGGAGATGGTGTGGACCCCAGAGATGGGTGAGACTTTTTTGTAATCATCCTCCGTTAGCATTTTTAATATGTGACATCCTCGCTGTGCTTTCCGTCAGGCATGTGGACGCTGAGCTCCAGGGTGAAACAGACCTCAGCCTTACGTCTGGCTGCCAGCAGAGGACACGCAGGGTGTGTGGAGGAGCTTTTGTTTCGTGGAGCGGAGGTCAACGCCGACCCCGGAGGCAGCACCGCCCTCCATGATGCCTGCATAGGCGGCCACGCTGTCTGCGTCAGGCTGCTGCTGTCTCATGGAGCAGACCCTGAAGGGCTGACTGCAGACGGCAGCACTCCTCTTCACCTCTGCAACTCTGCACAGTCTTTCCAGTGAGTGAAAAAGCAAACTGATCATTTCACAGTACATTAAAAACATAATCTGCTCAAAGTAATGTCAGTATAAGATTCCACTTTTGCTAAAAAATACTTTGAGAATATCACTTCATGATCCACATCATTTTCTAAACTAACATTTGTGAGAAAAGATGTTTTTGTATAGTAGACGTTGATGCTCATGCACAGTGTGATCAGAAACCTGTGCCCTTTCTTTCAGCTGTGCCAAGTTGCTGTTAGATGGAGGTGCCGAGGTCGACGTGAGGATGAGGGAGTCGAGGCTCACACCTCTGCACGTGGCGGCTCGGCGAGGCCTGGAGGAGCACGTGGAGCTCTTCCTGAGCTACAAGGCAGACGTGTTGGTCACGAACAGAGAGGGGGAGACCCCTCTGAACGCCGCTTGCTCCGGAGCCGAGAGGCCGTCTGAGTCCGGCCGCTACCTCAGAGTAATTCAAATGCTGCTGGACGCAGGGGCCGATCCCAGAACTGCGGGCAGGAAGCAACACACACCCCTGCACAACGCATGCGCCAACTGCTGCTCCAGGATCGTAGACGTCCTCCTGCAGCACGGAGCAAAGGTCGACGTCGAAAACTGTGCAAGATTCACACCTATGGACTGTCTGTTGCAGGTAGCAGAGGAGAGAGGGAAGAAGTCAAATTTTGAAAGATGTATTTCAATATATATTGAGGTCCGGCAGTGGAATGAACACTCTTGTTCTTGTTTCTCAAGGTGGTGGAAGATTACCTGGACCAGCAGCCTGAAGAAGTAGCACGATCACTTCTCAACCACGGAGCCAAGTCCGTTTCACCAAAGGTTCCATTCAACACCCACACTGAGAGAATTTCATGACTCGTACATGTGAATGAAGTGTTAACTAATGCAGAGGTGATAGAAAAGGTGCGAGGGAGAAAGAACGTGTGGAGAAAAAAGGACGAATTCCTTCACATCGACAGATTTGAGTCATGGAACTTTATCTGGAAAAGATTTTACCTCCATGAAACGACCGCATTTTTATGCCCAAAATATATTCAAACTCTCTTGAACCATACTTAAATAAAGCACCCAATATATGTCAAAAGTCATAGAAAACAAACTAAAATACAAGAGAGAATTAAATAGTACAATAATACGTGATTTCTAGCATCCTACAAAGTTCAAATAAGGCACAGGGGGAGACTGTGTCCAAGTCTAACATCCACACTGGTTGATGTTCAAATCCTGTTCATTAGTTTTGTTGAATCCATTCAAATATGGGGAAAATATCCCTATTTCAAGTTAAAGCTTGGGAATTTGTAATACTCTTATGACAAGGACAATTATTAAAATTGTTTAAATGATCAAAGCAACAAAAATGTCTTTTACACTTGATACTGTAGCATGTCCTTTTAGATACGTTTTTCGTCTAAATTGTATTAATTGTTGTTTTCTTTACCCTTGTATGGTCCTTTTATATTTAAATACTTTATATTTACATTGGGAGCGGGTCCTCTCTATGGACAACACCATGTTTTTTACAGTCGTCCAAAATGGACAAACTAAACACCTATTGATTTTTTACGATGACTGAAGGCTACCATAGGTTCTCTGTCATGTGTGGAAGGTGAGGGAGAGGTGAGGGGTATTCAGCCGCAACATGCAACTTCACCCCTAGAGGTCACTAAATTCTACACAGTGAACCTTTAAATTAGCTGAATATCCTGGAATGGAGACTTTTTCTTACTTGCTCTGTCCTCCCTGCAGATGCTGAAGCAGTGCGTCCTCTCTCCTGACGTCCTGGAGGTGATGCTGAACTCGTATACGATCGTCCCTCCCTGTCAGTGGATTGACTCCGTGTCTTCTGACATAAATGAGGTGAGTGGAAGTACTTCTTCTCTTACCCTTCATCATGCAGCTCTCGATCATCTCTCTGCTTTTCTTCCTCTCTGCCTCAGGAGCATCGGCCTTTCTTCGAGCTGGTGCGTCAGCGGAGCGGTCAGCCTCGCTCTCTGCAGCATCTGTGTCGATGTGCTCTACGCCTGCACCTCGGAGCCCGGTGTCACTCTGTAGTCAGTAAACTGGACATCCCCAGTTCGGTGAGGGATTATGTGCTGCTGTGTAACGACGGGAGGCTCTACTGACTTTGTGTTGAACGATCCAACAGGGTGGTGCCCTGACATGTACGGATAAAAACCTGTTTCTGTTATTCTATCTTTTTTAAACTGACACACATTTTGGCTGTGTTTTAACTGTTACTATTGTTTGGACAGTGTATAATTTGAAAAAGTACAATATTTTTATGTGTAATGTCTGGAAGGAAATACAAGCAACTTTACCACCTCACTGATTATCATTATTTGACATTTCCATTCAATTTATACAGGATTAACCCTAACCCTTTAATACGGGTTGATATAAAAGGTGTTTTAACATTAACTTCTCTATAAAATCAAGTTATACAAGACCTCATCATATATTAGATCGATGGATAGAGAGGTAGATGGTTAGATTGATGGAAGTTTGGGTGGTTGGATGGGTGGATGGATGGATCATGGATGGATGGGTGGATTGATGGAAGTTTGGATGAATGGATTGATGGGTAGATGGATAGATGGGTCTAGAGAGAGAGAGAGAGAGATTTAAATACATTTTGATAATAATTCTCGAGTGATATAATAGTTTTTGTGACAACTGAAGGCTACCACAGGTTCTTTTTCATGTTTGGAAGGGGAGGGTGAGGTGAGGGGTGTTCAGCTGCAACATGCAATTCCAACACTAGATATCATAAAATTCTATACACTGAACCTTTAACCTTTTTATATACAGTCTTCTTTTTGCCAAGATTCACATTGTAACAAATATTTTTGCTACTGCTGTTTACAATATATAATTCAAATATATTCTAGAAATGATCCAGAATGCACCAGAGCAGGAAAGATCACATATATTATTAGACACGAACGTGTTTATATTTCTACTGTCACACAGAAATCTCTTTGATTTAAATGTAGAGCATCTTTATGTTATGAGGAGGAGCGATCGGGACGACCCGTCACCAAAACTAGCGCTCCCTGTGGCCGGCTGACGTCACTCCGCCTCAGTGTTTATTATGTGTTTAAAGCAGCAGCTGCTAACTGGTGTTTAGCTTCGTCCTCAAACATGCGCTGATTTCACAGCAGCCAGGTAAGATCCCAGCATCTCTGCACCGCGATGACCTCAGCTCCCGTCACACTGTTCAGATCGTTTATTCTGTTAAGCCTGCGGCGGCGAAACTAACCGAAAACGGCCGAAGGTCGTTTTTCAGCTAGCAGGGAGGGCTAGCTCACAAGCTAACTTAGCTTAGCTGAAATGTTCCGTGGGAAAAGCAGCAGGTCGGAGACAATGGGACAAGTTAGCAGCTCGACGTGTCGGATTTCACATCTGTGTGTTTAACACGGGAGGTGTGAATGTTGGGTTAAAGAAACAAGCAGGCGAGTTGAGCTTACATTAGCCGGACGTTAAGACTTAGCATCACAGCTACAGGTCCACAGCTGTTGACCAGCCCATGTAGCTGCTGCGGATCTTTACGTAAAGTAACGTTCATGTTGAAAAACGAAGTGAAAGCACGTTACATGCTCACTGTGTGTTTCCAGATGTGTTGTAATAATACAAACATCTGGCTGTGTTTACAGTGTGCAGACACGTTTACAGTGTTTTATTGTTTCGAGGTAAACACATGACGAGAAGCAGGATTGTGTTTAACTAAAGTCCCAGTTTACTTCATCAACACTTCTCTTTGTTTTCTTTCTTTTACAAAAAAAACAAAAAAACAGGAACTTAAGTTTGCATCATCTTTTTTTTTCCTGTCATAATAAAAACCATTGGTGGGACTTATGGATAAAATCTTACATTGAATTACCTATTCTTATTTATGAAGACAGTGCACATTAATCAGTGTTTCTGTAAGTGTGCCAGTGTTAGCTAACTGGCTAATTTAAGATCCATTTGGGTGTTAAAAGAAAATTAAAAAATATATGATTTACCATAGCTGCAATGGCACTGAGTGAGAGTATGTCCTGTAACGTGTATTTCTGGTTAATTGTAGCTTAGTGCTAAAATGTGTTTAATTACTTTGTTGATCAAAAGAAAGTGAATGACATTGTTCTGCTGATCAATTGGTTTCAAGCTTTCGAGCAGAAATGAAAAAAGTTCAGTTCCAGCTTCAGTTCTCAGTTTCTCAAGATGTCGCCTGTGGCTCTAAAATCCTGATTGGCCATTTTATGTTCTTCGAACTGTTTTTGACGAGTGAAAATAATTCATCCAGCAGATGAATCAATCATTAGCTTTATCAAATCATTAGCTGCAGTCCTATCATAACGTCACAACTGGAACAGTCAACCGTGAAACTGCCCATGTGAATGGCATCTGGTAAATCCAGTGAAACAGAAAATGTTATCTAAAAACAAGCATACTGTAAATCCAGTGTTGCCACATTCGTCTGTGGTAACACTGGATTTACACAGGTCCTGCTGATCACTGATAAACATGTTCCACAGTGACCCTAATATAACTGGAGATAAAGGAGCAAACACCATGTTGTGAACTAGACTGAAATACTGTCAGATTGAGTTACAGTACATGCAGTGACATTTTTCTGCTCATGTTCCATTGTCTGGTGATTATGATTATGTTTCATATACCCGTCTGGTGTCGTTATTTCCCTCTTATAAATGTTGTTGTTCAGACGAGTGATGTATAAATTAAGTTTATTGTCATAATCCTCGATCTAAATGTTGTTAAAAATTGAAATGAATAGATCTGTTCACTTTATAAATACATTATATATGCACAAATGATGACACATTTAGGATTCTGCTTACACAGCCTTTTTTACAGTTTGTAATTTTGCTAACATGCTAACATAATGTTGCTCTGTTGTCGTGCAGAAAGTGAAGCCCATGTGTCTCTTATGTTTTTGTGTTGACCAGGTTCGGAGGACAGAGATGGCAGTGTGTGCACTGACCATGCTGGACGGGATGGAGGGGGAGGTAACAGCAGCAGGCGGCCTGTTGCTCCTGGTCCTGGCGCTCGTCTTGGCTTGGCTCTCCACCCACGTGGCCGATCGGGGCGACCACATCCTGGGCACCATCCTCACCGTGGGCGCCCACGCCTCGCTGATCGGACTGGGAGCCCACGACAGCTACAGCGGGGGGTCTCCTGGCGCCGACGCCCCCGAACAGCAGGCTCCTCCGCCCTCGCAGGAGAACAAGTCAGATGACGGCGAGTCGGGGGCTGAGAGAGGAGAGGGGGAGGGTGCGGAGGGGGTCAGGACGGATCTGCTGCTGGACATTCAGAGCAAACCACCGCAGGCTGGAGGACACACTTCTGATGAGGAGGAGGATGATGTTTATGAGGAAGAGGAGGATGATGAGGAGCTGGAAGAGGAAAATAAAAGGGTTATGAAGTCTATCTCAGTTTTGACTAGAACCATCTCCCCTGCCCCCACCGCCACTCCTCTTCCTCCTCCTCCTCCTCCTACTATTACTACTACTACCACTTCCATTTCTGTTCGACTGAAGTATTTAAATGACACGGAGGAGGTGGCTGTTCTGGAACCACAGGATACAGTGGGAGTACTGAAAAGGTAATAAAAAAAACTTAAACATCCACAGATAAAGTTCTAACATAAATCTTCAACATGTCATTCAACAGCTCCTCTTTCTCACCTCTTCTCTTCCCCAGTAAATACTTCTCAGGTCGGGAGCATCTAACAAAACTGATCTACCAAGGCCAGCTGCTGCAGGACCCCAAGAAGACTTTGTTATCCCTAAACATTACTCACAACAGCGTGATCCACTGCCACATCTCCCAGGCTCTGCACGAGGCTGATCCAGAGGAGGGGGCCGAGTCCGGGGCGGGAGCCGGAGTCTCGTCCGAAGTCTCTGGGGGATTCAGGGCCGCGGGTGTGGCCATCAGCACCAGCAGCCTGGTGGTTCCCGTGTTCGTGGTGATACTGGCCGTGGTGTGGTACTTCCGCATCAACTACAGGCAGTTCTTCACTGCCCCTGCGACCATCTCCCTCGTGGGGGTCACTGTGTTCTTCAGCTTTCTGATATTTGGGATGCACAGCCGCTAAAACAGCAGAGAGGAAACTGAATGTTTCGATGTAAAAATAAAAATACCCACAGCAAGTGGGTGAGTAGCTGGAGAGATGGGCTAATTATAAAAAAGGCCTTGGTGCAGAAACCACATCTGAGGAGTGAGTGTATGTGTGGGTGGTTGGGTTAGCCTAAAGATGAGTGATTGTACAATACATGTGGGTAAATAATAATCTGCAGTGAGTGAAGTTCTGTGTAAACTGAACCATAATTTAGCTTCTCTTCAGACACGACGTAGTGGTTAACACTACGTTTTAATCCCCTGGCTTTATCTCGTCTGCTCTTTTACTGTCGTTAGTCCGGTTTCTGTGTTTTAAGATGAAAAAGAAAATCCTAAGTCTTTTGGAACCACTCACTGTTTGTGCTGTGTGTGCCAGTTTGACTCTTTACCATGATTTAGAGTTTATGTGAATGATTTAAAGCTCTGCACAGCTCTGCCCCGACGCTGTGCTGATGACTTCGGATATTTTTTTGTTGCTCAATAATGTAGAAAGACGCTAATTTAAATAATCTCTAGACTTTAAAATAGACACTTTTGGAGAAGATATTGTAAATATATTATGTATTTTCTGTAAATAAAATAAAAAAGATGAAATGAATCAGATGAACCTGCATCTGGCACTTAAAAGATTTGGAGTGGGATGTTCAACCCTCCTGATTATGCTGGACTGCTCTGGCTTCAGTGATGTCTCAGATTAAAGCTTTTCAAACCATCCTGGTTTCCAGTATCCATTTATTGATCTGATGAACTGAGTCTGTGCATCTGCATTTATTTATACAAACATCAGTACGCACGGCAGCAGAGAGAAATAACCTAGGAATCATCACATTATGTTCAGATACAACAGTCGACTTATTTGTGCATGGTACAGAAAAATATATCGAAAACCTACAACATTGCATTCTCTTTCATTTGCAATGAAGAGTCACAAGAGAACATCAGCTGCTGCAGCTTCAATCACAAAGAAGAAGAAAAAAAAAAGATCATGCCCACTGTTTATTTTTAGTGCACGTCACAAGACTCCACTGGAAAAGATTCAAAAGCAAGTAATCAACACACGTGCAGATCTTGACAAATGGAGGAACAGGTCGTACAGAAAATAAGTTAAAGTGTATTTTCACATTTGAAAATTGAAAACGATCTAAGAGACTGTACAAAAAGGATTTGGGGTGAGGGAGGTGTCCAATCTTAAGAAAAAACATGAGCTACAGGAGGTCTTGTTTTACACTGGATTATTAACTAACAAAGCAAAACCCTTCTTCGAATGTCATAAAACTAAATATCTTAAGCAGCTGGATGAATAGTAACTGCAGCCTTTGAACAAGTTATGTGAACTGGGAGGGCTGTAACAACCAAAACAAATATTCCTTTTAGAACCTCCGCCAGTGCGTCAATTAGCAGGATTACTCAAAAAGTACTGGATTGATTTCCACGAAACTTGGTGGAAGGATAAGGTATTTGTCAGTGAAGAACTTATTAAATTTAAAATCCAGATCAGGTGGTGGATCCATCATTTTTTTCTTTTCTTTAACATTGTATGAGCCAAGGAGGATTTTATTTAAGTTATTTGATCTAAGATTTTCATTTCTCTTTCTTTAATATTGCAAAACCAGGGTTAAAGTCATTTTTGTGAATTTCTCAAGGAACAATGCAAAGATCTTGATGAAAAACATAAAATTGGTGCAGCTTGATTGAAATGAAGGGGAATTGAGTTATACTCTAGTTGGTTTGTTTGTTAACAGGTATATTCCAAAATTATATACAAAATTACAGGACTGATAACTAAGTGGAGGGATGGGGTCTGGGAAGAGCCCGATAAAGTTTGATGTGGATGCTGATTAAGCGGCAGATACTGTAATTTTTTCCCCACTTTCTTTTTACTATGTTATAAATAATTTAGATCATCCGACCAGTTCCCTCATGTGTAGGGTTGTTGGAGGAGGTATTCGCTGTACTGAGTGCCACTCTGCTTGTTACTGTATTAACTTGCATCTATTCTGTTCCTCAACACTGACTAACGAGTCGTACCCGTCCAACCCCTCTTGCCAAAATAATTTTTGTACAGTCCCCAAGTTTTACTTTTATTTCTGATTCTACTACAGTAACTACAAAGTCAGGACTTTAAGTTTTGTTGATCCAATTTATAACAAAAACAACTTCATTACGCCATCAAATGTAAAAAGTTGCTCGTACAAGATTTTTTAAAGTGCATCTGACCTCTAAAGCATGTAACACATCTTACACCTTTCAAATCAGACGTTGGTCCGAGACTTACAAGATGGAAACTTGTCAGTCAGAATCGTGAATGACAAGCAGAGCAGCAGCACTGATCTACTGACAAACCGAGGAAAAATAAAACAAGAAGGAAAGAATTATGATTTAAAATACAACTCATATTATACATACATGTACTGTACATGTGCCCTAAAAGCCTACAGGCTCGTCAAATATCACAATCTGCATTTACACACAAATAATGTACACATCACTTAATAGGCAGTGACAAATAAAAACTTCAATATAGTATTGATGTAAACAGAAAAGTTTTTTTTGTTGTTTTTTTTAAATGGCACGTACTCTCACAAAAATGTCACATTCTAGGATGCATAGTTTTGTGAAAATATAAATGATTACACACACACACACACACACACACACA